CTGAAGTAAATTTATTCAATCTGATCTGTGTTGCCATAGTAATTCCAGCTGTGACCCCAGTTGCCAACTCAGTTAGGAGCAATATATCGGTCTACAAAGGCATTTGGTGCACACAAAGCAGATTAATAACCTTTGTGGATGTGCAAATCCAAAAGAAAACACCAACTGCAAAGAAAAGACTGACAGCTGTGCAAATGTTATATGCTGGTAACTTTATTTATCCAGACATCATAAACAAAGAGTCCCCATATGAGAGCTTCCTCTAGACTAAGCTTAATTGTAGTGGCGTAGCTACTGAGGACTACACTCACTGGCCACTTTACCGGGTTGGACCCCCTTTTGCTTTCAGAACTACAGTGGGGATCGAAAGTTTGGGCACCCCAGCTAAAAATTTGTATTAATGTGCATAAAGAAGCCAAGGAAAGATGGAAAAATCTCCAAAAGGCATCAAATTACAGATTAGACATTCTTATAATATGTCAACAAAAGTTAGATTTTATTTCCATCATTTACACTTTCAAAATAACAGAAAACAAAAAAATGGCGTCTGCAAAAGTTTGGGCACCCTGCAGAGTTAATATCTTGTACTGCCCCCTTTGGCAAGTATCACAGCTTGTAAACACTTTTTGTAGCCAGCCAAGAGTCTTTCAATTCTTGTTTGAGGTATCTTTGCCAATTCTTCCTTACAAAAGTCTTCCAGTTCTTTGAGATTTCTGGCACTGCTCTTTTTAAGGTCTATCCATAGATTTTCAATTATGTTGAGGTCAGGAGATTGTGAAGGCCATGGCAAAACTTCAGTTTACGCCTCTTGATGTAATCCCCCGTGGATTTCGAGGTGTGTTTAGGATCATTATCCATTTGTAGAAGCCATCCTCTCTTTAACTTCAGCTTTTTCACAGATGGCATCAAGTTACCATCCAAAATTTTGCTGAAATTTTATTGAATCCATTTTTCCTTCTACTCGTGAGATGTTCCCTGTGCCACTGGCTGCAACATAACCCCAAAGCATGATTGATCCAACCCCATGCTTAACAGTTGGACAGAGGTTCTTTTCATTAAATTCTGTGCCCCTTCTTCTCCAAACGTACCTTTGCTCATTCCGGACAAAAAGTTCAATTTTAACCTCATCGGTCCACAGAACTTGTTTCCAAAATGCATCAGGCTTCTCTATATGTTCATTTGCAAAGTTCAAACGATGATTTTTGTGGTGAGGACGTAGAAGAGGTTTTCTTCTGATGACTCTTCCATGAAGACCATATTTGTACAAGTATCTCTTTATAGTGGAATAGTGTACCACAACTCCAGTGTCTGCCAGATCTTTCTGGAGGGATCGTGCAGTCAAACGTGGGTTTTGAATTGTTTTTCTCACAATCCTGTGAGCTGTTCTGTCTGATATTTTTCTTGGTCTTCCAGATCTTGCTTTAACTTCCACTGTTCCTGATGACTGCCATTTCTTAATTACATTCCGAACAGAGGATATTGACATCTGAAAACGCTTTGCTATCTTCTTATAGCCTTCTCCAGCTTTGTGAGCGTCAACTATTTTCAGTTTCAGTTTTCTAGACAACTGCTTAGAAGAACCCATGGTGCTGATTGTTGGGGCAAGGTCAGATAAGTCTGGGCATTTAAAACCTTTGAGATTGACATCACCTGGTCTTCCCAGACGATGATTGAGAACAATCCATGACACTGGCAGGTCTCAGCTTTGCAAAGGGGGCAGTGCATGCTATAAATTCTGCAGGGTGCCCAAACGTTTGCAGACGCCATTTTTTTGTTTTCTGTTATTTTGAAAGTGTAAATGATGGAAATAAAATCTAACTTTTGTTGACAACATATTATAAGAATGTCTAATCTGTAATTTGATGCCTTTTGGAAATTTTTCCATCTTTCCTTGGTTCTTTATGCACATTAATACAAATTTTTAGCTGGGGTGCCAAAACTTTCGATCCCCACTGTACCTTAATTCTTCATGGCATAGATTCAACAAGGTGTTGGAAACATTCCTCAGAGATTTTGGTCCATATTGACATGATAGCATCATGCAGTTGCTGCACATCTATGATGTGAATCTCCCATTCCACCACATCCCAAAGGTGCACTACTGTATTGAGATCTGGTGACTGTGGAGATCATTGGAGTACAGTGACCTCATTGTCATGTTCAAGAAACCAGTTTGAGATGATTGAGCTTTGTGACATGGTGCATCATCCTGCTGGAAGGAGCCATGAGAAAATAGGTACACTGTAGTCATAAAGGGATGGACATGATCAGCAACAATACTCCATTTGGCCGCTGTGTTTAAATGATGCTCAAATGGTACTAAGGGGTCCAAAGCGTGCCAAGAAAATATCCCCCACACCATTACACCATCAGCCTGAACCGTTGATACAAGGCAGGATGGATGTATGCTTTTGTGTTGTTTACACCAAATTTTGACCCTACCATCTGAATGCTACAGCTGTAATTGAGACTCATCAGATTAGGCCACATTTTTCCAATCTTCTGTTGTCCAGTTTTGGTGAGCCTGTGGAAATTGTAACCTCCGTTTCCTGTTCTTAGCTGATAAGATTGGCACTCGGTGTGGTCCTCTGCTGCTGTAGCCCATCTACTTCAAAGTTCAACGTGTTGTACATTCAGAGATGGTATTCTGTATACCTTGGTTGTAACAAGTGGTTATTTGCGTTACTGTTGCCTTTCTATCATCTCAAACCAGTCTGCACATTCTCATCTGACCTCTGACATCAACAAGGCATTTTTGTCCACACAACTGCCACTTACTGGATATTTTCTCTTTTTCGGACCATTCTCTGTAAACCCTAGAGATGGTTGTGCGTGAAAATCCCAGTAAATCAGCAACATTTGAAATACACAGACCAGCCCAACTGGCAACAACCATGTCAAGTTCACTTAAATCCCCTTTCTACCTCATTCTGATGCTCATTTTGATCTTCAGCAAGTCATCTTCACCACATTTAGATGCCTAAATGCATTGAGTTGCTGCCATGTGATTGGTTCATTAGCAGTTGTGTTAACAGGCAATTGTACAGGTGTACCTAATAAAGTGGCCGGTGAGTGTATATTTACCTGTATCTGTGCTGGTTGTCCTCTTTCCCTTTTCCTTTTTTAACTTTTCCAAGCATAATGGTCTTTTCAAGTGATATACTGTATACATACATTAATAGAATGGAAATATTGAAATAGACCATGCTTTCTGTGACTGTTCTCTGAGGTGGAGCTGGCATGTAAGGCATTTTTGTTTTTACCAATGGAGCTTGATGCCAGAGTAGTAACTTTTCTGAATCATTATACCTTCCCTTTTGTGTAAGTGTCCAATGGCATCAACACCAAAGTGTCCCCATACCTCCTAATTTTCTCTACCACGTTTAACTTAATGTACAATGTGACACCCACCAACTGGCCACCAGATGCTCAATAACAATTACAAAATGTCCTTGGTGTCAGTGTGGATACATGCTTCCCAGCTGCCCCACTTGTTATGGCAGCATGCCCACTGACCCAGCTGCATGAGGGTAGTGCTGGTTACTGAATAATGACCTACTGCTGGTAGCCAGAACTATGTTGGTGCAATAGATGGATTCATCTCCGTATAGGTGATAGTTAATGCTACCATTTGCAAAATTCAGATATGGCTTTTCTGTTTGAAATTCTGAGGCTTTACAGTCAAATGTGAAAAATAAAATATAGCTTTGTTATTTCAGGTTGTACTACTTTTCGTGTTATGTCTTGTCTATGTAAGGGCATCTTAGTAAAAAAAAAAAAAAAAGTATCAATAAAAAAAAAAAAAAAAAAAAAAAAACAGGTTCTAAAATGTTGATATCTTTTCAAATTCAGTTGGATCAGAAGCTGTAATGTGCATTTGCACAGGTGCAAAATGAATCAGTTAATCTCAACTGACATACAGTGTACATGATTTTCTTTTCCTGTTTCATATTAACAAACCAGCTTATTTAACATGCAACCTACATACATTTTTATATTGCCATATCTTAGTTCAGCAAATGGTTTATGTAATCAAGGTCATTGAAGGAAAATGCATTTGAAGCACTGGAAAAATTACATATTAAAAATGAAGTCAGGCTCTTCAAACAATGAGTCAGGTGTTCTAATTAAATCAGGTGTGCCTTTGACGTGTCCTGGCATATAATAAAAAAAAAAAAAATCACACAATTGTTAAGGTGCAGTGAAACTGGTTGCAAAAAGATTTCCTAAGATGGTATCCTCCATCAGTTCAAGAACGGGGAGATATTTACAAATTGGAGAAACAAGTGACAAAGAAACCTATGGTGACAACAAAAGACTTGCAAGCTCTTTGTTGCTTTATAACACTTGCACTTGTGTGTTTACCATAAAAAACTAAAAGACTTGTAATGAGTAAGGTTAGCATTGAAGAAACCTTCACTCTCATATATGCTAAAGTCTACCTACATAGGTGCTTTACAGCTCTTAAAATATTTTGCTGATTGATGAACATGTTGATTAATATGCAGTACTGTATGTTCTGTTTGAGAAAAACAAAACAATCCATATTAACCACTTGTCCTTCAGAGGATTTACCCCCGTTCCTCACCAGGCCATTTTTTGCAATATGGCACTGCGTACTTTAACTGACAACTCTGCGGTCATGCAGCGTTGCACCCAAATGAAATTTACATCCTTTTTTACCCAATAGAGCTTTCTTTCCATGGCATTAGATCGCCAGTTTTTTTAATTTTTTGTGCTATAAAAAAACAATTTTGAGAGAAAAATATTTTTGACTTTTTGCTATTAAACATGTCCAGTAAAAAAATTTTAAAAATCAAATTTCGTCATAGATTTAAGCCAAAATGTATTCTGCTACATGTCTTTGCTAAAAAAAAATCCCAATACATGTAAATTAATTGGTTTACCTGAAAGTTATAGTGTCTACAAATGGCAGTATATATACTGTGGTTTTTTTTTTACTAGTAATGGCGGCAATCAGCGACTTATAATGGGACTTCGGGACTGCGGCGGGCATTCTGACACTGACTTGGTGTCACTGACATCCCCAGTGACACCAATACAGTGATCAGTGCTAATAAAAAGCACTGACACTGTACTAATGGCACTGGGCAGGAAGGCGTTAACATCTGGGGCGATCAAAGGGTTAACGGTGTGCTGTTTTACTGTGGAATGTGTTAATGCTTTCAACTGTAAGCACACTGCTTTGTATGGCTCTGCAGAGCCATACAGAGCAGTGTGTGCAGGAGCTGACAGGAGAGAGAACTGTATTGTTTACATATTTCTCTCCCTCTGTTGGTAATGCTGGCGAATAATCACCTGGTACCTTGTGATTGACAGCTGAGGGCCGAATAGTGGCGCGGGTAGGGCGCACGTGCCCCCTAACCGGAAATGCAAAATCACGTATATATATATATATATATATATATTGTGGGGTTAGCTCAGGTGGGGGATCACCTTCCCTGGGAAAAAGGTAGACCGCACAGCAGGCTCTTAAAATCTGACTGGTTGTCAGCTTTATTTACAGGTTTGCACAAAGGTCAAAACAAACAAAACAGTAAAATAAACCCCTGCCATCCAGGCACTAACTAAACATGAAAACTTTCCTCTCTCAGAGGTGGAGGGCTTCTCCCTGTCACCCAAAAACAAAACAAATGCAAACCTTTTCTTGTAGGTATAGTACACACACAGCTCTCTCAGAATACCTCTCTGAGTCCCAGGCCACGAGCCTGGGACTCCACCTAAACTGTCAGGTATGAGCATATGCGAGGTGACACATAGCGTCCCTCTATCACCTCGCCGTTCATCCTGTCACATATCCCCCCCCTCTGCTCAAGCCCCTGCGGCTGAGCAACTGTTCCAACCAGGCAATGGACCCGGGAAAGGGCATCTACATTACTTTGTAGTTTCCCCCCCCGCTCTGTGTTCCACTGTGAATTTGAACACTTGTAACGCGAGAAACCACCTTGTCACTCGACTGTTTTTCTCCTTATTATCACACATCCATTTGAGCGGGGCATGATCAGTAACCAACTTGAATGGTCTTCCTAACATGTAATATTTCAGGGCCTCCAAGGCCCATTTGATGGCCAAACATTCCTTCTCCACAATGGCATAGTTTCTCTCATGTTTGTTGAGCTTTCTACTTAGGAAGACCACAGGGTGCTCCTCCCCTTCTCTGATTTGAGACAGGACAGCACCTAGTCCCACATCAGAGGCATAAGTCTGTACCACAAACTCTGTTGTGAAATCTGGGGTCACAAGCACAGGTTGGGCACAGAGAGCTTGTTTCAGCCTTTGAAATGCGGTCTCCGCCTCAGGATTCCACTTAATCATGACCGACCCCCTACCTTTTGTCAGATCTGTCAGTGGGGCTGCAATGGTGGCA